GGACCTGAGAGCACCTAGGGACCTTTCCAATTCCATATACGTTTGCAAGAATACTTTACTGGCTTCCAGAACTAGGTGTTCATGGGTGAGTGACTGTTTTTTCCACACTTAACTCATTTTGTTGGACTTGATCAATATTTAGCATTTCAGCAGTATTTAGGCTTTTAGACTACTAAAGTTAGCGCTGTCATTTGTATGGGTGAAGATGTTGCGGAATACCATGAAAACGGGAATTAGCTTACATTCTGTATAAATGCTTTTCTTTCATTTTAAAATTTTTCCACACTGACAGTAAATTACTTAAGTGGTAAAAGACAATTCTCACATTATTTTAATAACTAAATAAGTTGATAGACATATGAAAGAATTATTGTGCTTTTATTCTTCTTTATGGTTAAAAGATAAAGGCAATAAATATCTTTTATTGCTATTCTCATTTTCTTTGGACTTTCTTTCAAAAGGCTTTTTAAGGCATATGCATGAACGTTAAGTTAGCTATCCGTGACTGCCCAACCAGTGTTGTTTATGGCAGAAGTTCACAAGCTGCACCTCCTCAAAGCAGCATGCAGACACTGCCTGAGGAGCCATCACTGAGAGATGTTCCTACCCCAGCATTAGCAGAAGTGAAAACTAAACTTTGGAAGCCTGGCCTAGGGTGAATATTGTTCCACATTGTCAGCTACTGCAGCTGTGGCTTGGCTGCAGTTAACTGAATGATTTGCTCAAGAAACTAGGGTGAAAAATTCTTTGGCTAACATAATTTGAATGTAAGAAATTTTATAATGAAGAACCCATTCATCTGTGTAGTTACTACCTCTCCCTGCACTTAATGGCTTTTTGTGTGTTTTATTATTTGCCCCCCTCCCTTTTTTTTCTTTTGTATTATTTCTTCCTACTTATGATTAGAATTTTTATCAGTAACTAGATATATGGAAATGCCCAGAGTTTCCAGTGTTTGGTTTATTTAGCAACGTGGTATTCCCCTTGCTGCTTTCATTTAAGGAATTAGCTGAACATTAACCAGCATGATTGAATATGTTTCATAACATACTGTGAAAAAAGAAGCTAAAGCACTCATTCATAAGCCTTTGCCAACACTCCAGATCATAAGAACATAAATGAAAAGCACACTAGATCACTGGCTAAGCCTCTAAAATGCTGTTAACTGAAATTACAGATTGTGACTTATAAGCAGTAGTAAAAATCATTTGCAGAATTATCAAAAATTGTATACTTGAAATCTTTAATTTGAATTGCCCTTTCCAGTCTATTCATTATTTTTTCCCTTTCACAACAGCAACTTTCAGATTCAGTACTTAAGAGATTTCAGAATGTAAAAACAACTGAATAATTTTTGAGCTCAAGGTCGGAAGAGGCCCCTTGATGTACAGGTCTGCCTCCTGTCTGCTATGTATCTTCAGTTTAATGCTGGTAGATGATGTGTGATTAAATCCTGTGGCCAGCTTTGAAAATCCCAGTTTAGCTTAAAAGTAATTATATATGGAAATAAGTGATGAGTGCTGTGTGGGTAGCATTTATGCTTAGTAAAGTATAAAACTGGAATCTGTATTTACAAAGCTGTTGTTTTAAGGTTTGCTTTTGTTCTGTCCATGATTTAATTCAGTCCATTCAAGTTCTGCTCAAACAGCAGGTTTGGTCATTAGTAAATAACACAAGAATTGCTTAGCTCTTTGATCTATACAGTCCTGACATACAGTGTGCCTGTAGGCATGTGTAATATAAATATTTTGTAAGTGCAAATAATTAAAAGATTTTGGATAATAGGCATGTTGAAACTAGCAGTATTTTACAGATTTTCAGTTCCTGTTGGATGACATACAGAACAAATAAGCAAAAAGAACCTCAAATAATTAAAAATTTACAAAGCATTTGTTTTTAATAGCAGTTATAAAAATTACTGTGCTTTAAATCCCTATCTACATAGGGAAAAAAGTGTATTCTTACTGATTTGCATAATTATAAAATGTGTAGTGACTTCAAGCTTCATGATTTTAGGCTTCATGGATTTTCTTTAGATCCAGAACTGTGAAGACTGACAAGATGTGTCTTAGTTCTGGTTTTATTTGGAGTGTGATGCTGGTTTTATTCGTATTATTCAGTTGATCTGGCAAAAAAAACATGTTTCCAGTTCTGTTAGTGTTTTGATTATTAGACCGTTAGGTCGAATATCATTCTATGACAGTGACACGAGTCAGGGAACAAATCCATATTCCTTTACTATTCACTATTGAGGAACCCAACAAAGAAATTGGGGATTTCTGTCATGGACTCCGAAGAACACACCAGGGAAACATCCTGTTAGTGAGTGTAACTGCTGGTGTACTGTGTAACACTGAAGGTAGAGCTACTCTTTTTTCAGTTCTTGAAAGCATTATAGTTAGTCCGTCTTGGAGCTGGTTGTCATTAACTTCTTGCCTTTTTTTTAATAACAATTTCATTTAAAAAATTGCAGTGAGGAAGTAGTCTGTTAACTTGAGGTCCCCTTTGGTTTCCTCTGTGATTCTGGAACTTATGTGGGGCAAGGGAGATGTGTCTCTGACCACCTAAAGCTAGTTCTTTGAGCTCAACTTTGAGCACTTATACACTGCAAGGAGCTCTCAAAGATCCTTTCAGAGACTAATAGCATCTTCATTGCGTCTCCCCAGAGCTTGAATTGTTCATATAACTGCAGAGCTTTGTATAGCATAAGACGCAGAGGTTTTGTAAGAAAAACTAAGTACCTAACTTCAAGTTAAGTACTTATTCTCAATACTTCACAATGATTATTTGTACAGATATTAAAAGTATTTCTAAATGCTACTTATGTTGAAGCAAGAGGCATTCTAAGAAGACATCCTGCATATTAAATGTCTACCTTGCTTGGAATATTTTCAGTTTCTTTGCATGAAAGAAGTCTATCCATCTGCATGATCCTGTGATGTCTGAGGGTACAGTTCAAGGAAAGCTGAGCACAGGCTCCTCTGAAATAAGCAGTCCTGGCTTGTCCCATCTGTAACAGAGCATTTCTGCTGTCTCAGTTACCTGGATTAGAAAACTAGCCTGATCAAAAAGCCCGAAAAAATGGCACAGGGAAAAAAAAAAAGGGAGTTGCCTGCCTGCAACAGCTGGCTAAATGATCTCACCAGTGCCATTGCAAGAGGTAGCAGGGGAGGCTGAATTGTTTCTTCCAGCAACAGCCCACACTGGTTCTACGTAAATCATAGAATCATAGACTCGTTTGTGTTGGAAAGGACCTTAAAGATCAACACACCCTACCACAGGCAGGGACACCTTCCACTGGACCAGGTTGCTTCAAGCCCCATCCAACCTGGCCTTAAACACTGCTAGGGATGGGGCAGCCACAGCTTCTCTGGGCAACCTGTGCCAGTGCCTCATGAGCCCGATAGTGAAGAATTTCTTCCTAATATCCAACATAAATCCACCCTCTCTCAGTTTAAAGCCGTTAGCCCTTGTCCTGTAACTACATGTCCTTGTAAAAAGTCCCTCTCTGTGGGTGACATGAGTCAGAAAGCCATATTCTAAGAACGCAAATGACCAGTTTTACTTGAGATATAAGATGAAGGGGGGTTTTAAGAGCTACAAGAGGTTTACTTCTCGTGTAACAGCTCTAGGTAAAGTGCCTGGCACTGTTCCATCATGTTTGTGTAACTCGTGAGCAATCTTTATCATCATACTTCCTTAGCCCCTCTAGGTTAGTGTAATGGTAATCTTTTAAATCTGTGATTCTCTCTCTCTGCTTTCCTAGAGAGCTTTGTTTATGTTGTTTGATGTACTTTGGTGTTAAGTTGAAAGGCTGAGTAGTATTTGAAGGTAAGGCTGGAGAAAGGAGCTCTCTACCTGTAGATGGGGCTGAGATGCATCTGGGTTTGTGCAAAAACAAATTCTGGTCTCAGTCCTGCCCTCATGGAGGCTCAGGAGCCTGCACAGACAAATTCCATGCTTGCAGTAAGTGTACACCATCATCAGCTCTTCCTGACAGCTTCAGTCAGCTGGCACAAAAAGCTTCACAACCCGAGGCAACTTTTGATTATCCATAACTTAAATGCTTTAACATTCTGGAAATTAAGATCTGCAGCTTAAACTTGGCATGGGGCTCTGTGGGAAACCAGTGAAGCACAAGGAACAACAGAAGGCAAGGAAGTTCAGGCAGTGTAGCCAAGGAGACACCCAGGTACATCATGGCTAGTTATCTGGTGCTCTTCTGGCAGAGTCTTACAAGCCTGTGTGAGTACAGTGCATTGCAGTTCCAAATAGGTTTTAGGAGGGGAATGTAATGCCAAAGCTAAGCTGCCACTCCTAAGAGGCCAAGGCACATCACTTAGAGAAAATACATTGTATTGCTGCTTGAGATGTTAGTATTTGGGCAGAGTCCAGTTGTGGTTTTGCTTGCAGTTTAAGTACCCAAATGTAATGGCTGTGATTATGAATTTTCTCTTTTTATCTTGCTGTGGTCAGGTATCATTTTTTTCCTTATCAACCATTATCACATTAGAAGCACAGGTTTATCAAATACCTTATCAGGTGGATGGGAAGTGTTTAATTAGCTTTATGGTGATGATGAAGAATATTGGAAAGTTGGTCTCTTTCTCTTCTTTAGTATCTGTAGATGTCACAGAAACTCACCTAAGTAGGATCCTGCACAAGTAATCTCATAGCTCAATACCAGGTTTTCCACTATTACTCTAAGGGTACCTGTTTCAGGTTTTCCATTATTACTGTAAAGGTATTTGCTTCCAGAAAAGATCAAGTAAGTGCATTTCTGTGGATTCCTGCCAAGAAGATTATATAATAGTGGTATGAGTACATTCTCATGAAAGATGAAGAGTATTGTTGCATCTAGAGTTCCTATATGAAAAACATTACTACTATCTGTTGTCACTTCACATTTGGAGATTGCTTACTTGGGGTTTCTTATTTCCCTTTGTGTTTGTTTGTTGGCTTGATTTTTTTTTTTTTTTTTTTTTTTTTTTACTAAATAGACTTGGATTATCACTTGCTTTTGTCTTCAACTGCTCCTACTTAATCCTCTTGTCAAAGCCCAGAGTTCCTGCGGGAATCCAGTGACAGATGATGTGAATGACATTACAAAATTGGTAAGTAGCTTTTATTAAAAATTATTCTTTATGTTAAATAATAATTAGTGACTAATGGTACTTGTATTTTTAAGCAAAGTTAGAAAATCTATATTAGAACCAGGGCAATATTTTTAAAAAAATCAATGTCTATCACATGATCAAAATCAAAACCTTTATTGCAGAAACTGGCGAATAGTGTCAGAGTTCATTAAAGAGATGACCTTCTTGACCAAGGTAGAGTGTATATACATATGTGTTTTCCTCCCTCCAAACTTCCATACAAATTGTCAAAAGTCTTGATTTCATCAAACATTGTCTGGGATTAGATTTATTTCCATGCAGATGAAAGATTATTGTCTTTGTGTTACTGATTTGTATGGAGCAGACTGGCGGCAAACACATCTGAAATGAAACAGAAGTTTTTACCTTTGGTATATAGGAAACTTGTGCCTTACATCAAAATAGAAAGATACTAGACATCATAGTAGCTATCAAGGGAATAACATTTGAACAGCACTTACAGTCTTTAGGTGGGAGTGGGCTACACTCATTATGTGTTTCTCTCTCTACTTGCTGTACCTAGAACTTTAAGTCTGAAGGACTCATTGGCTTCATATAGGAACTGAATTCATTTAAGTACATTTTCATTTTTACTTAATTGAACACTGCTTTAACCTGAAAAACTTTTATCTTCTTGTGTGAAGTCAGTTGGCATTTACCTCCACGGAAGTCAGTGATTATGCTAACTTGGAGCAGTGAAGGATCTAACACAAAAGTTTTTAAGAAATAATATATACTGAACACTTAAAAAGTATACCTTCATCTAAAAGTATATACAGGTATATTCAGTATGTACAAATATATCTGCATCTACTTCAGCTGAGAAGTGTGGTTTCTTTATGGAAAAACAGTTGCAATACCATCATGCATACTACCAAATATTTAATTTGAAGTTTCTTGCATTTGCTGCCAGTGCAGTGTTCTCAGCTTGTTTTCTTTGAGCAATTATATACATTGGTATATAGTATAAGTCTCTGGGGGTGCTCTATATTCCTACTCAAATACTTAGTGCTTTACATTAGTCCCCACAGGCAGAATTCTGAACTATTGGCATGTTTATTCAAGATAATATTTAATTTCTTGAAAGAGTATTAAGCTTTGATTTAAACCTGTTGAAAGCATGACAGAACAAAAGAACTCTTGTGAGGGCTGATGGAATTGTCTAATATAACATTAGCGATAACTTTTTGTCAGTTAGGTTTCCGTAGAACTAATGCTTTACCTTTCCCTTTGGTACAGTTTAAACTTCAAGAATTTGTAAATACAGATGACAGAAATTTGCAGCTTGAGTAATAACACTTTGCTTTTGAGATAAATTAGGAAAGAAACCTTTCTATATTGTGTTCCTGCATCTTCCTCCAGACTGGTCCAGCAACTGCAGTTCTTGTACATAGTCCTTGCAGCACTGTGTTTCCATACCCACACTCTCCTCCACATCCCCTTTTAGTTCCCTCCAGTGCTCCCTAGCATGATGCCTACCTACCTAAGCAATGTTTTGAGCTCTTATTGGATTTACATCCCCTTTTGCTTGGGCTGCTGACTGGGCTGGAAGGACTTTGTGTGACAACCGCTTGGTGTATGTGCTGCTTTTCCTTATAAAAAACCTCTGCCAAGTGTCCAGGTTGTACTGTTCTGCTGCTGCCAAGCCTGAGCAGAGTGGTGCAGGGCTGAGTTCCTCCAGCCACTGCTCAGTACAGATGCTGTACTGTCCTCCTCCTGACTTGCACTCATACTTTTCAGATCTCTCTCCCAAGTGCAAAATTTCATAAAGTTAACTAGCAAGTTCAAAGATATTTTGAGTTGGAGAAATAGGAGAGAGATGCAGATAATATAAAGCCCAGATACCTGGATTCTCTGTGCTTTGAGTTGTGCATCTGAGAATGTTTTTAGGAAAGTCTGTATCCCTGTCTTGCCTGTCTGTTATTATTTGCGGAAATAATTTCTATAAAGCCACTTGAGAATTAAAAAGGATACCATGGAAATAAGCTTAGTGTGTTACATTTACTGTGAGAACCCTCGGGTTATATTAAACTGACTGTATTGCAAATTGGTCTTTCTCTTTTGAAATGCTGTACCATTACAAAAACTAATAATAAAAAAGGTTCAACGTACTTTTAAAACAAAATATCATCAGCTGACTGAACACAAGAAGGGTGAAATTCACAGAGAATAGACTGATCACATTGCTAAAAAGTATATTTTTTACTGCTGTAGGGAGCAGTAATACATATAAAAGGGACTCCAGTATGATACTGCTTGAAAATATAGCTCAACTCTCTTAAATTACTATAGAAGTTTTTCTACTACTTTTGCTTTTTGAAAACAAAATACGCTTATTGAATTAAGGAATGACATTCCGATGACATGCAACGTCAGAATTAGGTATAACACACATAAGTGGTTGGATTCTTTATTGATCCTACTGGCCTTCAAATATTCTATTTCCCTGCTGATCCAAAGAGTTTGTGCCAGTAGGACATAATGTCTTTAATAAATGTCATCCCCTTTCACACTGAGAACAAATTGTGATGTTGAGGGTTTTGCAGAAGTCAGTGTTACGCATACAGTTATTGCCTGTAGTTTTTGTGACGTTACCCACAAGCTCTGTTGTGTTACCTGAGAGTGGTATGACAATTATTTCTAAAGGCTTTATTCTTGGCCACCCTGTCATGTTCTTTTAAACCCTTTTGTTCACAGTCATGAGTATAGTCCCTTATCTGTGTGCAATAACTAGCTGTTCAGCTGTACTACACAACCCACTACTGTACTACTTAGGATATTGGCACCTCTTCCTCCTGTCTCATCACAAATGCTCAGACATCAGCTTAGATTCAGTATGGCCTGAATCCTCCACTGAGGCAGGTTATGATCTCTTTACCTCCCCAAAATGCTAGTCTTCCCTGGGCCTTTTCTCCCTGTAAAGGTACGTCACTATCTCTCTTCAGGCATTAAGGTCTATAACAAAGGTGTCCATTTTGGCTCTTGATGCTTAACAGACCCTTGTAAGCTCACTTTTAAAACCTCGATTGTTTTTCCTGTCATAACAGGAAAAATCAGTTTTACAGCTCTCTGTCTATATAAATTCACTTTTCTTCCAAATTTTTGGTAGTTAAAATCCAGTCCACTGAAAAAATCTTTTTCTGGCTTCAACTTCTATAATTTTGTCCTTCTGTCTGTTAATTTGTTGTTCTGACCCTGTATCTTCTACTTACTTCCTGCAAGCTCTTCCTCCTTTGTTTCATTATCAATGACAAGCTTCTTGGTTTTGTCTTCATAGGCACTATTAACACTGTCTGTGATGTCTTTTAACACATAGTGAATTTGCCCTCTTGTCCTAACTTCTCCTCATTATTTCCATAGTATCTGTTAATGCTGTTCATGGCTGCAGGAAGGATGCTCCTTGGTGAAGTTGAGGCAGATTTTAATCCTCTTACTATTTCATGCTAAAATTCTTTGCAGCATGAATCCATGGCCCTCCTCTTTCTTTTTTCTACTCAGTTCTTCCCTACCTCTACTGAAGTTCACCTACCACTTGCAAAAAAGTGCTAGAATTACCTACCAAGCTCTTTTGCATGTAGCTTGATACAACCTAGCCTTCATCTATTTGTTCCCAGTCTTCTTGTTCCAAGTACTGTGAACTCCCTATATCACTGGTAAAAAAACACTGAGCATTGCTGTGTCTGTTTTCTGCTGGACTGCATTGTATTCTAGGAAGATCAGAAGAAAATGCATCAGTCAACACTTTCTGTGAATACAGATCAGAGATGTCGACTTAAGCCTAAGCTATCAGTGAATAAATAAGGCATGCTGTGCAGTGCTTGAAAATATGGGTCATTTGCCTAATCAACTTTGTGTTGAATAGTAAATTGAAGACAGATGTACAAGCATAACTTGTTTTCAGTGGTGTTAATCTGGATTTTCACTAGCATCATCCTAGTCTCATAACAGAAGCCAGAATTGGAAAGAAAGAGCAGATTTAATGACAATAATGTTTCTGAGCCCTCAGACCGAAGCACACTGGTCCGTTCATACAGAAAAATGACTTTTTTTGTATTTTCTGTAAGATTAAAATTTATTCAAATCTTTATAATATAATTTTGTCATGTGAAGAATGTGTCCTAAGTGAAATGATTTGAAGAAGGAAAGGACAATTGAACAATCTCTTTCGGGGGGGGGGGGGGGTGTTTTTTAATAGTGAGAACTTTAAAAGAGCATAATTCCATGCCGATAGAGAATGAAAGTATTTAGAAATTATTCACCCTGCATTACTAATCACTTGAACTCCTGCTTCTTTTTTTAATGAAGATATCTGGAGGGAAGCACATTACTTGATGAACAAATGTTCTGTATTATGAAACTGTAATTGCAGCACCTGTCAATAAAACCTGTCCCCATTGTTCTTTTCAGCACAGTAAATCAGCAGAAAGCTGCATTACTGTAATTATGACTCTGATTTTGCATAAGAATTAGGAATCTATTTTATATACATTTGTTAAATATGATGAAACCTACATATAAGTAGAATTTTCACTGAACATGTAAGTAGAATATTCACTGAGCTGTTCAGTATGTATCTACATATTTCAGTTTCATCCATTAACAAAATCTAAGGTACTCACCTCTTTTCCCATGATCTGCTTCTCTAAAGCCATTTTTTTTCTTCTGAATGTTGGATGCCCAAACCATTGTATTTGCCAACCAGGTTGCTTGCTCAAGACATGCCGTTTCAAACACTTTGCCTTCACTTTGCATCTTTGCTGTAAATGTGTACTTTACACTCTGCAACATTTTATTTTTATTTTTTAATGGCTCTAACTCTCAAAACTGAAGGGGTTATAAAAAAAGGTCCAGTGTTGTTACCCTGCAAATGATCTGCCACTATGGCTGTAAGAAGTGTGAACGGAAATTGTTAACATGTTGTCTTAAGCCAAACGATGAGGATTTTATTAACTGCTTCATTAGCAAATGAGATAGAGTAGATTGCGAGATGATGGACAGAAAGTGGAAGCTCCTGAAGAAAAGCCAAGGATGCAAAGAAGGGAGATGCAGAGGTATTAAAGAGTAAGAAAATGAGAATCACAAAGAGAGAAGTGGGAGGTGGAAATGGTAGCCAAAATGAAAGTGTGGGTTTTCCCACCATATGCCTAAGAGTAAATAAGATATCACTGATTTTTACTTTCATTAACTTACTTTATCATTGATCTCTGTAAAAAAAAATAATGATATCTATGCTTGTTTCCTTAAAATTTTCAGAATAGTCACAATAAAGAGAATTCCCAAGAGCAGCTGCTCTCATTTCAAAGTGCTTGACTGCAGGGATATGTCATCTCTTTTATGTTTTGCTCTTCCAATGAAAGACTAGCCTACAGAACCCAAATAGCTTTTACAACATCTCTCTTTTCTTTCCCTATGTGACCATGAACATACTTTAAAAGTGTATTTAGGTTATGCAATGTTAACAGAGCTGTATTAAATATTCAGACCTCCGTATATATGTTGTATTTCCCAGTCTAAGATTTTGTTACAACTGGGAATACAGCACCTGATGTTAGTTTTATATGGATTTAAAAACATTCCCTGTTCTTCACCTTTTCTCAGAGCCTGATATGCTTTCTACAACTACACCTCCCCCCCCATTAAATCAGAGAAACTTTTTGTGGCATTTTAATTGCAATGCAGGGTTCGTTTAGCTCTATACATTACTTTCCAAGATTATCAGTTGACATTCTCTGTAATCATCAGAATTGTTACTTTTGTCTAAACCAAGGCAAGACCTGCATGTAGGTGTTTTGTTGCCCCCAGATTTGTCACTGTACTTAAGAAGTTGATTACAGGAATCAAAAAGGCCGTTCCAGGACTCAGGACGTTTCACAGGATGGTCCCTTTCCATTCCGCTTCACTCAGGCAACTCTGAGCCCTCTTCTCATCTGCTTCTTGTTGGGAGCTGCAGCAGGCAGGCACCCACACTCAGTGAGAGGATGCAGAGTCTTTTCATTCCTTTCAGGATCATTTCAGCAGTTGAAAATCAAGTGGTTAGTTTTGGATCATAGTCTTGGGAGGTTGGAGCTAGATGATCTTAAAGTCCTTTCCAACCCTAACTATTCTGTGATTCTATGAAATTTCAAGATTAATTTCAGGAAAGCAAGAGTATAAAATGCAGGGATTAAGCCTTACTCTCCCTGTTTTCTGTGTGTGAGTTGGGAAGTCCAACTGGGAGACAAATACAACTCCCTCTCTTTGACTGAGCTCCGTCGTTTACCATCAGCAGAGCACCTGGCATGTGGAGCTTAATCAATAAAACTTTAACAAGTTGTTTCATCTTGAGGCAGGACATATATTTTGTGTTTGACACCCTCCCCCCAGTGGTCTTCATTTTTAGTAGTAAATTCAAAAATATCTTTTCTGATTCACAGTCTGTCAAGGAGAAAAATGACTGGGGCTGAGATGTGTTCTCTGGCTTTGTCTGGGAAGCTGTAAGAGCTCTTGGACAGTTAGGTTTTTTTAACTGTGCGTGAAAAGTGCTTGACAGGCTCTGATGCTGGTAAAGTAGATTGTATACATAATGCATATCAGTTCTTGTAGTGTTCATTGATTTGGAACAAATTTAATCTTCCAGTGACCTTTCTTAAAGAACAGTACTTCTGCTGACATTGCTAAATATTGAATTCCTATAGAGTATGGGAACCTTTGCACATAAAGTACCACCTTCACTATCTTTGCTGCTTGAAGTGCTGCTAATCCTACCTCTCTGGGCACGCAAAGGTAGCTGGAAAAGAATGATTACTTATTAATGTGTCATAATGTCAAGTGTCAAGATGCTCTTTAGAAGAAGGAAAAATATATAAAAACTTGTGGATGAGGATTTAGAATGTATCAGATGCTCTAAAGAAAGAACAAATGTAATACTGCAACATTTTGCAGTATTTATAGCATCTTGAATCAACTTCCCCAAATTCCAGGTAAATGGAAATTGATATAGAGAATTTTAATGGCGCCTGTGCTACTGCTTTGGGAATATGTAGGTCTAAAAATAAAAAAAAAATTTGATCCATGAAAAGGAATTTACCAGGATCAGTTGTATAAAATTGCTTTTTAAAGCTGTAGGAGAAAGCTAGATGTCATTGAACTGAACGATTGTGGCTCAGCCCATGGTGTAAACAAAAAAATGTTTGGAATTCACTAGTGACTGACTGTACATAAGTATTGTCCTTGATCATTTCCAGAACCATAGCATTTTGAAATTGCTGTATTAATTTTTAATTGAAACTAATTTTCAATTAACAAATAAAACATTCTGTTGTGACAAACAAAATACTACCTAAAAAAAAGGCACAGGAAAAAAGAAATTCATGTGCTGGTTGCTATAGCAGCAGAATCAAAAGCAGCCATAACAGGATGATCTTTAACCTGAAGAAGTAGAAATGCTTTGCTGAACAAAGTATAGATTCTGGTTCACCAAAGGAATTATTTATGTGCTTATTGTCTTTTGACTAAATGGAATACGAACCAGGATGAAAATATCAATTGTAGTTTTCACTGATACAAAAGAAAATACATTTGCTGTATCACTGGGCATCATAGTATTGGTAAACCTTCTGAAAAAAAAGTACTTCAAGAGACTGTAGGTAGTGGCAGCATCTCTCTCTTCATCTCCCCACTCAGCACATTCACTAGGCTAATAAACACATCTCATGGTAATGTTGGATTCCATTTGTAGCATATTGTGTTGTATAATTCAGTGAGAGCCCTTCCACTCCTTAACCTTGCTTAAGCACACCCCATACTCACCCATATCTGCAAAACTGCACTCATGTGTATAGAAGTCCTCCTTTGCCCCAGCACATTGATATGATATAATTGTATTGCTCATCATTAGTAAGAAGCACAGCTTCAAAGTTAAAGTTGTGCTCAAGTGTTTTTCTGACCTGGTCCGTAACTGAGCACAAAGCAGGTAAGTATTTCTTTAGATTCAAGTGCTTGCTGAAGTTGGAAATTATTTGAAGGAAAAACGCTTAGAGACTACCATGTCCTTTACAGTTTGGAGTGGTTGGGGTTACATAGAAATTGTAACGAAAACACCTAAAGATACACCCTTAAAAGATGAAAATGCAGTGGAGTTTCTGCAGTAGTGAATAACCGCAGATCAGTTCTCCTTACCACTTTACCGACTTTTATTTTGCTGGGAATTCCTAGCATTGAACATGATCAGATAGGTTTTGGGAATGTTACAGAGGTGTGGAAAGATGCTTCACTTGTGAGCAAATAGGTCGGTAGCATTTTGAAAGGAAATTGAGTATGTAAGCTTTTGCACCTCGTAGGTTCTGGAAATGTGTGTCGCATATTTGATAGCTTTCATTGAATACTGTGATGAAATTAAGTCTTACTTCATGTAGTCAGTAATAACTTTTTTATTAACTGTTTATTGTAGGTTGGAAATCTCCCAAATGATTATATGATAACCCTTAAATATGTCCCGAAGATGGATAGTCTGGTATGTACAATCACTTCAAGTTAATGCCAATAAAATAGCACACTGGAACCAGTGATGGCTGTAACATTTTGTACATAGTCCTATGGCTTAGTAGGTTACAGTTAAATAATGGTTATTTCACTTTACATACACTTCACAAATACTCATTTAAAGGAAATGTAGAGGGATTCCTGCCGTCACTTAAAACCTTTTTAATTACAGGTATCTTAGAAAAATGTTTCTTCATGCTAAATTTTTTTAACACTTTTTCTTCCTGGAAAAATTTCAAGCTCTGGTGTCACTTCATCGTGTCAATTGAAAATTGTTCTCCTAAAGAAGTAGTTTCTAAGTGTGCTTTTGAACATACTGCAGTGGAACATTCAGCCAGTGGAAGTGCCATTAAAGAATAACAAATACTGAGTAGCCAATGAAGAGAACCCTAAATTCAGCAAATGGTAGTGTCAGTAGCTAAAGACTGGTAGAAACTAAGGACATTTCATTCAAACATGCTTTGTGCTATTCTTTCTATATAATCCCATATTATAATACATAGTAATACTTTCATATAAGCATTATATCCTGTCTTTAAAAATTTGTAATGTTTTGTATTAAAAACATTTTCATATCATCTTGTTGCCTATTCTGCTAAAACTTGTCATGCTATATTGTACTATATTGTTTTAAGGAAAGAAAAAAAAAGTAAGAAAAGGATTAGTTTGTCAGTTAAACTGAACAATATTGTGCCTGTCTTCTTAAGAATGAATCATTGTACACATGCATCAGTGACTGGAAATCATCTGGTAGATGTAAGAAGCTGGGTTTGTGTCTGCACAAAGTTTTCATTATGAAAATCCAATTTGTGTGTGATACACATAAAACTGCATTCTATCCTACAACACTGTAGCAAATCTAGAAAAATTCCATATTGATATTGGAGAACAATACTAGAAGAAGCATTCTCTCAGTCCTGAATAAGAAGATGGCTGGAGAAAAAGAAGGCTGTGAGATTGTAAGGGCCCTGAGCTATGATGTTACAAAGTATTATGGCAGATCTGGCAGTGTTCTTGAGTTTTATTGGAAGCTTGAGGCTTTTACTAAAACTTGAGAGTACTTTAGAAAACCCAGTTTAAACTTGATTACTTAGACATAAAAACTCAGAACAAATGCCGTGAAAGTCAGATACTAGAGCCTATATAATATAATAAAGCTAATGGAGAGAAAATCAGTTCCTGAAAATAGTCAATATCCAGAGAATAGGGAAGTAAGACTAACTGCCACCATCCACTGGCTGTGGTGCTTTTTAAAATTCAGGGGGTTTGGTGCCTGATGTGATGAGATTTATGGCTGTGGAGGACAGCTGTAGCCTAAGTGCTGGTCCCTATCCTCCAGAATGAGCTTGGCAGCTAATGGGTGAGAGCTAGGCTGGATTGGGGCTGTTCCCTCTGATGCACTTCTGGGGAGGTTTGGTGCTGCAGATGAATATGGCCAAGGAGCCTGCTTCAGCGATGAGTCCTGATTATTCTCACTGCTTAACTCTTACCTTGCTCCATGGTTCAGTTTTGGCTTCCAGCACAGTTTCTCTTCTATAGTTTAAATGCTATGTCATCTTGCTGCATCATATCCAGAAACTTAGATCCAGTTTATGTTTACAATGAGCAGCCAATAAATAAATAGGAAGAAGTTCAGAGCTGGGATTTCCATATTGCCTTTGTTCAAATGCCACTTTCAGTGATGGTGATGGAAGGTGTAGCTCTTGGCCACATGCCTTCACATGAGGAAGTATTCAGTGGTACTCACATCCCACTTTGCTGAATTCCTCTCTGGGGATTTCAGGCTGTTTTACACATAACAGAGCAAAGGCTGGCTCTGGGTTCTGCAAGGTCCCTGCAAGCTGGGAAACACGGCTCTGCATAAAGTGAATGCCCTTTGTTCAGCTCTGAAAGGACTGAAACAGCGTTCTGCAGTTTTTTTCAATAGATCTTCAGTGCATGCATAAAGTGGAAAATGTACCCAAGGTAGCAAGTCTCAAATGTAGATGACTAAAGGTAGGAAGGCAGGGTGAATAGAAAGCAGATGGGAAGCCAGTGTAGTGCATGTAACAGGAACAGACTGACCCGATCCATTAAACAGAAGGGTTGTTACATTATGCACTAGCTCCAAGGCAGCTGAGTGGCTTTAAAAGTATTTTAGCATAGAGTGAACTGTATAGTCTAACCTGAAGGGTAAAAAGGAAGAGGTGACAGCAGCAGGGACTGAACACAGAAGAGGAGATTAAATTTTTAGATAGGTATAGAAAGAAAAAGCTAAACAAGGTCTACCTGGAAGCACAAGTGAACTCAGGTTTGCAGTTGCCCTAAAATGTGAATCGTAGTTTACACAAGAAAGCAGATTTTAAACCTCCATTTCTCCTTGCAAGCAACATCACATTTCTCAGTTTCAGCAGTTTCATCCCTGTGTTTGGTATATATGGAGCTAGCAAGTGATTGCGCAGCTTGATACTACTGAAAAGAAAATTTCAAGCTCTTGTTAAATGCAGCTTTGTAGGTCAGAATGGTTCAGTCAGAGGAGACTCCTACACACATGCTAAACCATGGGAGTAACAAAATAGACTCCCTGCTGAAATCACCAAATGCTCACTAAAGAAGCAGCAAGCTTTTGCTAGTCCCTGCCAGAGGAGAATGCACACCCACAAAACCTCAGAGGAAAAGGGTTTCCTATTTTGCAGCTCAGTGAAGCACAGGAGCTCTGTGTCCCTGTTCCTACACCAAAGCAGAGGAAAATGTGTTGTCTGTCTCATGAGGGCAGTGGGACATGGCACAATGTGTGCTGCTGGAATGGAGCGTGTTTCAAGAAGCTTTCTCTGATTTATTTGCTTCAGCCTCTCCTCTCTGGTTGTTGTGCTTGAAGGGAAAAAGGGAGGCAGGATCAAGCCAAACACCATCCATTTCACAATTACAGAAGGTGATAATTGACTTACCACTTGTCCGTGTGTGAAAGAGTTGTACACAAAAGTGAAAAGTCAGGTGAAGCTGAGCAATGCATTTACATATGGTTCTTTAGGCCTGGGAGCCTAATAGTCTTCAAAAGTTAGTTAGTCTTCAAAAGCATGAAGTGTGTTTTTCCTCATTGAAAACATTATACATCCAGGCAGAGCACCACCTCTGTCACCAAGAAGGTAATTTGTTGCCAAGTGGTGATATTGGTAGTAGTAGGGACAAAAAAATAATTGAAGAAATTATCTGTATGAAGGTTTATTGCATAAAATTAGTAAAATGAGATTAAGTCTAGAAGCAGATACATCGGCCAAACATTTACCGTGTGTTTGTGAAGGTGGAGTGGATGGATTCAGTGGATGCTGCTCATCCACTGGCAGAAATTGGTAACTGGTTTAAGTGATACTGAGAGTGCTTAGGAGGTGCTTGGCCAAGATTGTTGTGTCTAGCAGGGTTTAGTGATCCTGAGACTTTTTTAGCCATTGAAAAAAATATCTTCACATGTGGAATAAGTTCCCATAACATTTAACATTAAAAATTCAGCTTTTATTAGGGAGTGACTTCCAGGTACATGTTACAGTGTGACTAATGCATTACCTGTACTTTTGCTGATTGTGTTACGTTAGGGGGTTTTCTGAGCTGGGTGGCTTTTTTGTTTACATGACTACTGTGTGTAAATCTTAAGTAAAAGAAGTTAACAACTCCCTTTAAGGAAGCAAGATGAATGACCAGGTTTCAATTACATGAACAGCTGTACAAACTTAGCCTGCAAACTAATTGCATAGGTGTCAGTGAGAGGATTTGAACTCTCTTCCAGTGGCACAGATGTGGCAGATACCACCATGAGCTGTGCAGAACCATTTTGCTGGCAAAAACTCAGGAAAAGAAAGACTTTCAGATCTGGAATCTGTTCTGAGGAATGGCATCAGCTGGAAAAGCTGAAGAGAAGAAGTTAACCAAGCTAACTCTTTCAAAGGTGGATAACAGCATACACGAATTTCATGCAAAACATTTACAGAAACCATCCTCAGAAGAGATTTAAATCAAAGATCTTTGAGGTTAACTGAGTCATGTACGGTAACAATAATAAAATGAAAACTTGAGATTGGTTTAAAGAAAGTCTGGATAAGATTGTTAAAGCAGTAGTTATTTTTAAAAAATAAATAGGTTAATGAAAGCATGGACTGGAGTTAGTAGTAGTATGTCTCAAGGCTCAAATTCTCAACAGCCTGATGCTTAGTATTCATTAAGAATTTAATGAAGGGATGGCTTTTAACAGACAAGCATAAATATGTCAGTATCAGTGAGAACAGAAAATTTACCAAAAGGACTGAAGAGAAAGTTGGCCACACTAAAAAAGACAAATTTTAATTTAGACTTTCAAGATAATTTGAATTGGAAAGAACATTCTAATCTACTTTTGCACATTGAGCTGCTTAACCAGTTTTTGCAAAAGTCTGATATTTAATCTGCCTCTTTGTTTCTCTTTTTACCCCTAACAGCCTAGTCACTGTTGGTTGCATTTGATGGTGCCTGAATTTTCAAGGAGTCTACATAGTCTTCTCCAGAAATTTTCAGATATTTCAGATATGTCTGATGTTTTAAGCAACTATTTAATCATCAATAATCTCACAAGGATAATTAATGATCTTATGGCATGCCTGGCTTTTGATAAAAATAAGGTAATCAGTTTCTGCTTTTTTGCTGGATTTTCTTACTTGAACATTCTGTTGCACAGTATTCGGTAATTGCTTAAAAATGTCCAAAGCTTCATCAGATTTGTTCTCGTTTATGTTCCTGTACATCTGAAATCCTACTTTGTTTAGAAATGCATTGAGTACACTGTGCCTAGAGTTGGCTAGTCGTTATCTCCTGTGTCAAAGGAAAATGTCTTACAAGGAATTACAGTATATACAATGACTCGTATACAGTCAGTCAAAAATGTAACCTTCATCTTTAAGATAATTCATTCTGGCCTGTTTGAAACTGGCAGAAATCTTCCTTGTCCATCCTGCTTAAATTACTCATTTGGCTAGTGATCCTAATGTAAATTTAAAGATGATGTAGTCAAAACTATTAATATACTTTTAGTATGTATCCCACTGTGTGAAGCTCCAAAAGCTTCATCATGGTGTAATGATCATTTTTATACAAATCCACAGCAAAGACTAGGGAATATCAGCCCATTTCCATGAGATTCCAACAGCAGCTGGAAAGATTCCAGGAGTCTCACTCAAGAGACATATGATTCTCTTGTGTGAAAATTATGGGGTGAAAAAAATAACTTTCTAATCCCTTATCCAGCTCTAACCAGTTCTGTTGTCAAACATGTCCCACTGAACAAAATAGGCAAAATCCGACATGTTCTTTAGGGCAAGGATTTCATCTTCCATATATGTTGACTTCTATTAAGTAAGTCCTTAGCTGTTGTAATTGAAACTTTTTAACATCCAGAATGAATTAAATGGACCAAACCAGTCAATCTCATTTAGAGTAGCATAACCTTGTAACCTTGTTGCATCAGCTGAGGGTACCCTTATTGCTGAGGGTATTTACACATTTCCTACCTTTCCATTTCAAACTGAATTCTGTCCAGTCTTCAATGTATATCTTTTTTTTTTTTTTTTTTCTATTCTTGTCCTGATGACTCAAAGCACTCAGCTGAGATGTGGTTGGGGAAGAGTAATTTTGTTCTGTAGAATGAAGAATTCAGTATCCTGTAATTCAAAGAAACAACCAGATACTGATTTCCTCGGAGAAGTATGATCTTAGGTCTAGTACTTTCAGCATTAAACATAAAATAATTTTGGAGCCAAAAGTGGGAAGTTTTCCTTAGTACATATTTAAACCATGTTCTTACCACTGACATACTTCCTGGGAGTACAGAGTAACCCCAGGCCAAATTTGACCTGCTGACATAGGAAACAGTGATTATGGAAGCCAGAATCAGGTGAAAAGAGAAAAATAACTATCAATGATCTTAATGTGGACCTCAATCTTGTTGTTTAGTCTGGCATAACACACTTGTCTTTTAGACCTCAGAGAGTAAGTGGGCTTCCTTGTTTATAGTTCTGCTCTTATTTTTAGATACATTATCAGGAATCTCAAACTGCTTCTATGCAGTAGTGTGTCCCAACTATTGTTTTCTCTTCCTTGTACTTTTATGACAGTAGTTATGATTGTGTTGTGTTCCTGTGTTCAGATTAAAAGGATCATGGGGAACATTGCAAAATAACATTAAATGGAGGTAATTTTTTTAATGAAGGAAATAAAAAAAAAAGTCTCTTCATTTTCAGTGTAGGATGGGAGGCTGCCTTTTGTTCCTTGGCAATTTTCCAACACTATATTAATAATTTATTTCTATTTGCAAAGCTAATTTGAAATCCTCAGATCAGAGGGCTTGTATGATTTATAAAGATTGTAGACAGCAAATTTGGTCTTCTGGAGGTTCAAATTTTAAACTGTCTTGTGTTACCTTTGGATATCTTTATCATCTGTTGAGGTTTTGAAGCGAGTGTCTCTCTTTACCTTCTTTCAAGCTAAATTCTGTATTTTACTCTAGGATTTTGTAAAAGAAAATGGTCACCTTTATGAAGAAGGTCGCTTCATTCCTGAGGATTTTTTTAGGCACTTTAATAATACCATTGAGGTCTACAAGGAGTTTGCAGATATACTGGATAAGAATGACTGCATTCTACCTTCAACAGTAGAAACACCAGAGAATGGTAAGATGGCCCTTATTTTGGGGAACAGAATCTAAGTAGATATAAATGGGTGATATTTCATTTGATTTCAGAGATGCTAATGATCTGATGCTGTACCTCCATGTCTCCTTTTTAATGCCAGTTAAAATTTCTACCAACACCAAAGATTGTATTTCATTTCCAAGTTGAGTTCTATCTGGCAATGAAACTAGTGCCATCATACCTATTGAAATCATTCCTTAATAAAATTCAAATAACCTCACAATAATCTGCTCTGTTTCTTTTCATCCCAAATATATCCTGAATCACCTTTTTACATTGTTCTTCTTATCTTCTATTAATGCTCTAAGTTTTATAAGGCAGTAGCAGAGCCTCAGATTGCACTACTGAAAAAATAGGAAGCTAGGACAAGTTGTAAATTGCAGCAGCCTCAAGTCACCTCCATATTTGAAAAGGCCCATGTTTACTTCATTTAAAAATTTTAACAAGCTCAAGTCAAGCTCCTGCAGTTCATTCTTACCCTTGCAGTAAATGGAGGTATTTTCTTTCACTCTTTCTAGTGACAGCTACTAGCTTTGTAATTAGTGCAGCGCCATCCTGTTGCAGTTATGCCAGTAGTAACTAGAAGTAGAGTAGTTTCATAACCTAAGAACTTGTTCAAGGCAATTGCTTTTCCACAGTACCTATTCAGCAGCAGCTCAGTGTGTAGACACATCTGCTCCTTAATAAGGTTGCCTTTTTTAGCTTAATCAACTTTGTAAACAGCCCTGTACCCAGGTTTTTAAAACAGCCCCACATCAGCGTAGCCCTACAGCCCGTCATCTTATATAGGGGGAACTGTATTTTACATTACGCAATGCTGACACACTCATTTTCTATTTAGATTCCAGAGTCGCTGTCACAAAAACATTTTTGTTTCCTCCTGTTGCTGCCAGCTCCCTTAGGAATGACAGCATTGGCAGTAACGCTAGCAATAACAGTAAGTACAAGTGATTGAATTAATATGTGTCTCCATTTTGTTCTGGTAGCTGGTTGTTATGAGAGTTCAGAGGAAAAGAATGTCATTAATTGTGCAAATTAATGGGAAGTTACTTGTGCCTGATGGCGTACCATGTGTTCTCAGCTGTCATACCAAAATGCAATGAACTTATCGAATTAAATTTTACAGATGCTATCAAGTTGCAATAATGTGACAGCTCTCTACAATTTGGAGAGGGCAAGTCTCTTCGTTTTGGCTGTCATGAGGTCTCACTAGTCATATGGCCTCAGCAAACTTGGCTGTCCCAGATGCCTCATTTTAACTCATAAAAGGAGTTGCTCCAAACAAACAGAACAGGTGAAATAAATTGGGCCCAGGGTACCCACATGGACAAAGAGCTTGCCAGTACATTGCATTTTGAGAGTACTGTCAATCCTAAGCTTGACACCAAACCCGAAGACAGCCCCTTGTTTGCTTGCTGTAGTCACAACAGGGCCAGCTCCACAGTCAGCATGCTTTTGGCTGAGGTCAAAGACAAAGTCACTACACTTTTGGCAGACTGTAATCTTCTCTGTGGCACAGCCATCTCTGTGTTTCTTGTCTGATTGGTCAGTGTACTACATGACTGATCACTGATGGGTAAGAGAGCACAGAACTGCTGCTATAAGAGCCTCTACATTACATTACTCCTCGTGAAGTCAGAAGGGGTATAGGAATCTGAGGTGAAGAGAAGCAGCTAAGTTGCAGGGGCTTTTACTGACATCATATAAAACAAACCAAATACTCTTGTGAACAAAAGAAGGGGATTTTCCATGGAGGTTCCTGCTTAACCAAGTTGTTGTTTTCCTTGTTCCCGTTTCCTGGACACATTGGGATGACAAATATATCTCTTTTATAATTTTACCCTTTCAATTCACAAGCATCCATGCTAACTGAAAGTGTGATGAAGTCTGTGGCTAGTACTCCCTGTGTTTAAGAAAACATGGACAGGGAGGCAGCCTAACATTGAGTTTCTTCTCATGCTTCTTGGGAATGTGTAATCTGTTATTCTCTGGGGTTTTAGCACCATGCATGCTACCTCTTAGTTGACAAACAGTTGCTGTCAGATTTATAGCCCTTCCTGATTGCTTTCTAATTAAGAGAAGGTCTTGAGTCATCATTTCCCAGAACCCTCTGAGTACATGGCTGGAACAAAAACTGCTTTCAACTCCTGGCTGCCAGCTGGCCTCTCTGGAAAAGGGAAGTCTCACTACCATAAATTCCTCACCAAGAGGTCAAGGAGCTGACTACAAATAACCTGATGATACTGGGGCCAATTATGAGGTACCAGGATGGGGCTACAGAGTGCATATCTGTCTGTCAGGTCTGAACGTGATAATTTTTGCTGTCACTGCTAGAGGCAGAATAGTTAGCTGAAGCCTGAAGCAATGCGAATGGATCAAGGAGCCAAAAAAACCCAGATAGATTACAGGAGCAGTTCAGATGAAAGGAGTTTTACTGGGTAAAGTAAAAGGAGAGAGATGCCAGGGAGCACAGCTGAGTGTGGCACCTCTGTACTGTGGAAGGGAGTACAGAAGCAGGTCTATCAATCTTATTTTATAACTGAAACTGATAATGAAGTAGGAAAAAAAGGCTAATTAAAATAGTGCAGTAAGCCAAGGCAATTACTTGGCTGGCCATATGCTGTACAGGTGTGCTTTAACTGATTATCATTCTCTTAAGCAATTTATTGGAAAATTGGATATCAGTTAACAGCCTTATGTAGCAATGACATGAGGACTGCCATGTCTGAGGCTGGGGACAGTTTGAACTCCTAATCAGATTAAATTACATTAGTTTGGAGATTGAATGCTGACTGGGTACTCTTTAGGTATCTGTTTGGAGTTTTTTACAGGGAGGGACCTGTGGCATCTTTATCGGCATCTCTGTTTTACTCCCTAAAAATGGCCTTCAGTACTGATTTTAGTTTTGTCTTGGCTTTATTGCTGAGTAAGTTTTCTCTTTTAACTTAATCCCTACCTTCTTGAAAGCAACAATAACGAATAAATCTCATTGCTTACCATGTGAAAACTCCCCGGCACAGGGGACCTCCCTCCTGGCTTCAGTACTGTTCTTAGAACAGCACCACTGTTCAGCACAGTTGCAAAAACGAAAGCATTTGGAGAAGAGAGGAAACATGAAAAAAAAATTCTCTGGCACAAACTACTGCAGTATGTTTTATTAAATGAACCTCTTTAATTCTAAACATATTTAAATTGAGCAATTTAAAATTAATGGTTTCTAGACCATTTAGAAGCGTTCACTGTTTGCAAAAGAGCCCTTCCAGATTAATAATGAATTTTTAATCTATTAATTATGTCTGTGAAGTCAGATGACTTGAACTGCTCCTAATTTTAAATTCAACTTAGACAAACCTGAAGTGCATCATCTAATAGAATCATTGTGAAATAATTATAATAGAAATCGTATATAATATAAATTAGCTAAATTACATTTTTTCATGTTGCTACATTTGTGGAAAGAGTCATATTTCATGACTCCATTGTTGTTACACAACAGAATTAAACTACTATAATACAGCAGAATCTTGACTAAATCTACAACAAAATTCTTACCCCAATTAAGTGTAAAATAGAACAATTATCCTGTTTGGGGTTCGTTTGTTCGTTTGTTTGAATGGCAGTAGTCCTGTTTTCATCCTAGTAATATTGAATGTAGATCTGGGACGTGTTCCCACTCCATCTTTTCCCCCACAAAATTATCAAAACACCACCACCAGCACCGCCAATTTATTAAGGCTGGTTTATTTTGTTCGCTTTATATTACATAGTTGTAGTCCAATTTAAATTGCAAGTAACTGCTTAAGTACAAGTCTTACTGATATTTCTCTGAATTATTATACTATGATTAGTCTAGAGAATTCAGATGAGATTGTTCCTATGTAAAGGACAAGTGTCAGAATAAGAAGTCTTGAGTTCCAATCTCCAACTAAACAATAAATGTCTCTTTTTTCTCCATCAGTTGAATCTCATGTTACTGTAATTAAAGCTTGAACTTACAAGCTGTTACTAACAGTTCTCAATTTAGTGCCATGGAATTATTTATATTTTCATAACAAGTTCTTTGTTTTACTTTCTTCTGTTTTTGCATATGATTTCATCGCAATAATTTAGCTTTATTATTCAGTACTTAACAGCTTAAACTAAAACTTTCTAGGAAGAAGGTCTCGTTTTTTAATTAAGTAAAGAATAACATAGTTTAATTCAGTAATTGCGCAACAATTCACCCATAACTTAATGCACATGGTGTTGCCTTTGTTCCAACTTTAGAGTGAATGGAAAACCGTAATGAGCAGGAAGAAGCTGCTCTGCATTTTTATAGATAAGATCTTGTGGTAGTTGTGTTGAAGCTGAGCAGAGGTAAACTGAAAAATCCTTTGAGACATCCACAGCAAAAGATCAAGCCAGTGCTTTGAAATATAATTGGTTGCTAGACCTACACACAGGGCTAAAGGTGGAGAGCAGCTTAATAGCTTCATCGTGTAGCTGAGTGGTTCTTAATGTAAATATATTTTGTTCACAGCTTAACATCCCAATGCCCATAAAGACTATACATAAATCAACATCAGATGTGCTTGCTTCCTTAGGAAGTCTTCCACATGGTGGAGAGCGAAATCTCTGAGGGATGCTGGCCTGCTTCCATTCCCATTTTGCACCTTGCTAGATAAGAGTCTGTTTTAAGTGAATAACATATTAACTGCAAAGCCAGTAGTTTCCTCCGGAGTTGCCCAAGGAGTTTACAAAGTTACTGATACACCTGGTTCCTCCTATTCCTTCTCTTACTTTGCCTTTACAACTGCTGGGAATGGGAATCTTTCTGTGTAAAGCTCTGAAGTTTCTAATAGAGGAAAACATCCCCTATGGAACTAATAAAAAGCTATTGGCAGCCAGCTTGCTTTCCTTATCTCCCTTTTATTCATTAGGACACAGGTCACTGGGAGGTTCCCCAGGCTGAAAATTCTCCAACCTGCTCCGTCATAGATGTTGTTATAAATAAAATGCACATGAAGAAACCCACCATGACTTATTTCATTCTTTCCAGATCCTTCAAGAGACTTTTTCGGGACTTGAAAGTGAAATCAAATAATCTGTTGTTGTTTGCTTTTCAAGGTAGTTGTGGGTTACTTAACTTTCAGATTAATTCATACATTATCATGTTATGGAAAAAAAATCTATTGTAATTTTTAAAAGATAAGCTGGGGATGGTGTAACACTTTGGCTGTATGTAGGCTCTTTACCTGGGTTGCAGGTGCCCACATGGAAAGATAAATATTAATTCCTGTCAGTTTTCCATAGCTGCTGAGGAAAACATCTGTATTGGAGTTATTTTCTCAGAAATCAGATTTTTTTGACTTTTAGATACTTCATTGTAAAGGGACCACTTCTGTTGTCTAAGACTCTCTGAAGTTTGTGAAAAATAATAGTAAAAATGAGGGTGCTAGACTGTCACTGCCCTGCATACAGAGCATTTCTTTAGACGTTTATGTAAAAATCATCACGCTTGCCATGACACGCTGCTCAGCGTTGCAGAGAAGGCAGAGAATTTTTCAGGTTATACACTCCTCTGTAACATTATCAAATAAATTATGCTCTGTATGACCTGAAGAATTTTTCCTTTGATTTTTATTTCACTTTTCCATTTTTTTCTGAAGCTTTCAGGGCAAAATCCAGAAAACATGACCATAATTCAATTGTCTAACTGAGCAGCCTGTCACTGGGATGAATGACTAATGGTATTAGGCAAATCAGTGTTTCATTTTCCTTGAGTAGAGAGCAAGAAAAATGTGGGAGTTTTCGCCTAAGAGTACAGTTCAGATAAAGTAATGTCAGGATTTTCCTTTTTTGAGCTGTTCGGGCTCGGTGTGCCCCATTTGAGGTTGTCCAGATTTTTTTGAAGGTCAGTTGTGCAGGCTAACCTCCTCCATGCATAATCTGAGACAATCAGTTGGAGAAAACATATACCCCTCCAATTAATTTCTGCTCTTGATCTTAATGTCTGATCAGGCAGAGGCAGACCAATTGATATCCTGTCTTCTCCAGCTGATGTTCACCTCCGTAGAACTTAGACATCTTTCCGTTCTCTGTAGAGAGATTTCTTTCATGGCAAGGGCATCTGTTCTGCTTGACCCATGTTTCCTTTTGGTGCGCCAAGTCTATCAGTTGTGAGTAAAATTCAAGCTCCTTAGTCAGAACCTAGAGGTTGTATGTTTTGTATGGTATGCAGAGGTACATGTAGTATATAAATACATAAGATACAGACTTTCTGTTGCCTTACTTTTTAGCTCTGTCTGTGACTGTGACTCTATAAACACAGCTGAATTTCAAAGATAAAAACTTTTAAAGAACATTTGTGTAAAAACTTGGAAAATGTCAACTGGAAAATCTCAGAAAGTTGAAGATGAGCTACTAGTTAATTATGAGAATGCTCCTTTCTACACTAGAGTGTTTTTTCTTAGAGGCTGTTTAATAATGTACTAAATGCACATTGCTTGACCCAGTATCTCATACTGTATGTGCTTAGACATTTGCTGTTTGCATGAGTCACACAAATTTCTAGTGCTTTCAGTCCATTTTCATCTGTATCTAATCACCTACATTTTTTCCAGTGCTTACAGTTTCTTTTCCTGTAATCTGACAATACATCCACCATTTGAGCTGCAGACACCAGATCTTGAAATGAACCAAAACTGGGTTGATAGTGTTTAAATAGCAGGCTCCTGTGGTTCACTTTGCATTTCGGAAGGTGGATCCCAGGATGACTCTGCAGAACTTTCTGAACCCTGTTCTTGATTAAATAACTGGAGGGCCACATTCTAGTCTCAGCATGTGACAGGAATGGAATTACTTGTGGACATAAAAGACTAGGATTGGAGCTCTTCTGTATAAAATGTAAAAAGCTATCAATAAATGTTTACAACAAAATAACACAGCTAGATTTCAAGATACAAGGTCTTGGATCTTATTGAAGTCAGCAAAACCTTTCCAGACAGACATTAAAAGTGAAATCAGGCTTATTTTGTTAAACTAACCTCTCTCTAGAGCCCTCATGTTGGTAATCCATTAGAGCAAGGCAGAATGTCTTATCTGTACTCAGTGTCTTATGGAACTTAAGCAAATGCACAAAGATATGTGCTCTTCCAAAGAATTGCTTTGTGTTACAGAGTAAAACCTTTAAAAACCCAAAACTTTGAAGTGCGTGAAAGAGAGGGAAAAAAAACAACCAACCAAACAAAAAACCCCAGACAAAAAGCCGAGGAAGAGAATTAGTGCTGGAACTATTCAACACTGCTGTTTCAAAATGGGAGAAGTGTCTTTGTGGTCAAAAATTTCCTGTGAGACTTTGTATGAAGTGCACTTCGTGTACATAGCACCTTGAAGTATCTGTTCTGCTATTTAAGATCTTATATAGGTGGTGAATAAAAGTGCTCTTGCTAATAATGTTGCCCTGAAGATTTTCTGCTATAAATATGTCTTTCCTAATGTAATTACAGAGGAGGCACTTGGCTTCATTAGCAGCTCCAGCCTGCAAGGAATCAGCATAGCACTGACATCATTGCTGTCTCTTCTTATGGGGTTTATTTTGGGAGCCATATACTGGAAGGTAAGAAATATTTCATTTAATTGCTTACATAGTGATACTACATTTCATAGCTATGGTCAGGCAGGAAGAACAGAACTATTCTGGTTTGAAAGCCAGAGACATCTCTTGTGATTTTCACTAAACTCTGTGACGTGCAAATGGAAATCTGTGTTGTCAGATTCTTGAATACCACCACCAAAGTGCAAATCCTGTCTAATCAGCATGATAGCTGTCCAACTGGAAACTAAAACCACAGGATTTCCCCAATTTCGCAGTTCTCCTATTGCATCTTGAGAAGAGGATTCTTCTGCTTTTTCCCCTTGTGCCCTTGCTTACAATACAAAGGCTTTGATGGTAAAATTATACCAGCAGCAGATGTAGATTACAGGACAAGGTTTGGCCTACATTTTGCAAGATGATTGATATTGAAAATTTGAAGCAAACTGAAGCACAATATTTTTTTAGGGAGTTATAAGGAAAGCTTTAGAACATTTATATTTCATGCATCTTCCTCCTAGAAAACACATCCCAAATCCAGACCAGAAAGTGGTGAAGTTACACAGTGTCATGACTGTCAAGAGGAAAATGAGATAAGGTATGTTGTTTCACTTTATATTCATATATACAAATGTAAGTTTATCACAAAGATAAACTTTCTGAAGGTTTCTCTCCAGCTCTAAGACAAACACACAAAACATCAAACACAAGGTCTTGTAGAAGCAAAATGTGTGCTGAGGATGTGTCCTTTAAAGGAGCTTTTAGTTTAAACATAAAAATTGATATAGAGGAGATTTCTGCATACAAAATGTTACTAAAGGGACATTACCTTTACTTTATCTGTCCTTACTCCCACTGTGAGAAAGGAAGGCTGAGACCTATATAGGAAGCAACAAAAGAAAATTGTGTTATTTGGTGTGTGGTGTAAAGGTTCATGTTATGTAACTAACTAGAAAACAACATCTTCCTGGCTGTGCTCCTATAGCCTTCTAAACATTTTTCACAGGAACATTTTTTGTATTATCTCACTTTTTTTACTTGCCCCAAGGTATGCGTATATAAGCATCTATGTTTTCCAGGGTTTTTTTTTTTATGTTAATGAGAACTCATTCAAAACCTGATAACTTCCCAAGATCATACTGAAATGATTTATGACTCTATTTGTACTTAAAAACTGCATTACCTGATTTTTAATGAGAAAAAAATCCTGTGTAACTCAGTCAATCAAATATACCTTAGGAGTAACGCTTGAAGACATCCAAAGTTGCTTGGACATGACTTGGGCAAAGAAGTGAGTGAAATTCAAAAAGGACTTAGGGATATTTTAAGTTAGAATAGTTCACGCTAAAGCATTTTGAGAGCATTACTTAACCTTGTATTTCAGGGTGTTTGGTAAAATTTTAACTATGAGGGATTAAGGGACAGATCTGATGCAGATGGCAGAAGGACACATCCTGTAGGCTTCTCAGGCTGTGTGAAATGCCCGGTGCTGTCCACTGTTGAAGGCAGAAATAGACAAGGTTCTGATCTAGCATTTTGGTCATAGGAGTGGAAATCTTCTGTGTTTAAACTTTCTAGAATAATACATTCTTAAAACAAATTTGCTTCATGTGCAGTACTTAGAATGGAAGACTACGTATTCATCAAGGATATTAGTTGCTGCTAATAACATCCTGTACTTCATCCTCATGCTAAACTTTGGTTTCCTTTTTATTGTAACTTATTGATAAACCCTTCCATTTTGTTTTCTTGAAACACCAGCACTGTATGAAAGTACCTTTTTTCTTTCAGTGTGTTGCAGCAAAAAGAAAAGGAACATCTACAAGTGTAGCTGTTGGTTTTTCTCCCTCAACACTGTTACTGTTTTGTGTACTGGTAAGTTGTTATGGTTGAGAGTCTTACCATAGGCTTAATAACTTTTGACTGCTGAAATATAAAGTAATTCAAAGTCCATTTGGGGGAAAAAAAACCACACCAAAACAACAACTTGTTATCAGTAGGCTTTGTTTATGCTTAAGATCCTTAGCAGCAAATGCAATTGATCTTATATCATTAATTTAGGCATTTGACTTTTAACCTGAAAATGTTACAAAATGAAATATGCCAGAATTCTCATGTGAAGGACAGCTCCTGCTTCTCCTTCTTGGTGTGAAAGCTGATACAGAGAAGTCTTCTGCTGTTGTTCTACAGCTGCTTAAAAGCAGCGTAATCTAAAAACCAAAATCATTAAACTAGCAGGTGAGTGCAGGAGAACAGACCAAGTAAAGCTGAGCATCTGTTAATTGTTGTTTACTCAGCACAGTGTACAGACTCTGTATCCCTATCAGATACATCATTCTTGCTTTAGTGTATAAGAGTTAGCAGCAAAGGCAAGTGAGCTTTCTCAGTCCCAGCTGGTCCTCTGCAGAATGGTGCATGTTTCTGGCAAGAGGCTTCTTACCACAGGAGTTGTGCTGTACTTCATCCATCCATCACTGGCAAGGGCCTGGAAGATTTAGGCAGTGCTGAATGCTTCATTTAACATGAGCAGAAAGAGCAGCGTAAGAGTACAACAGGCAATCCAAGTTTTGCAGGTCATCCTGTAGCGATCACTCTCAAATGTATTTCAGAGTGTTTGTTGTGATCAAGGTAGTTACAACTCCAGAGATTTCCAATCTCCTTAATTGTTTTGTTCTAACATCTGTTCACTGAGAAGGGCAGTCATCACTGAACTGGACAAGTTGTCTGATTTTTCCAAAGATGTAAATTCGGTTTGGTATTGGCTTCTCCAGATGACTTCAAGGGGAAGTCTGCTGCCAGAGATTGCCAGATAACCAAAATGCATAAACACAATTCTGTAAAACAATGAGAGTTGGTTCATCACCATAGATGACACCAAGGAGCTTTTTCAGGCAAGTGTGCTGTTGGACCAAGAAGGTATATCTTATAACAATAATTATTGCTTCAAAATAAAGGGATATCTATGGAAGAGTTGTTGAATCTGTGTATTTCTAAAATTACAAGAAAAAATGTCTATGCTGTATGTCTGTGAAAAGCTCTGCTGTTTATCAATGCAGACAGAGAAACTAAGCAACAAAATTATAATTTTTGTTTTTCTCTTCAGGCAGGTAACAGTTCCATGTTCGCTTCATAAATGAAGCAGCTTTAAGCACATTCGTATTCCTTCTGGAGTGACAGACTGAGTCTGCATCTGTTGTTGCTGCCCATGACTCCATAGACATGCTATAGAAATCAGGACAATTTGTGTTTGTTACTGTGAAACCACCACTGAATTGACAAGAAGAGTGTGTGCTTAGCAAGACTGTGTCTATGTGAACATCTACCTTGTTTGGCATTTGGGGATTTGTAATTGCATTGAAACTTGCAGCTGACTCTGGCAAACAAAGTACATGTCCTGAACAAAAAGCATCTTTCAAATGCCTCCAACTGTGTGTAACCATTGAAAGTCATAAATACTTTTGCATCCTTAATTTAATTTCTGTGTCCTCTACCTTACCTTGGTGTCTTCAGATGGAGTTTTCTGAACTGAGAGAAAACAGAAATGGATACAGATAACATACTCTTCGATGTTGTGTATAAAACTTGAAAACAAAGTCATGCAATGGACCATGTTCTAGCCTTTACTTATAAGGAGTGGTTTTTGCCTGGCAAAAGTAATGTATACAGCAACATGTGGTGTCTGTTGGGTGCCAGGTGGCTAGTTGCTCACCCCAGAAATCCTCAAGAACTCATCAGCCTTGGTGGTCTCTGTTTAGGAGAAGCAAATAGTGGATGAGGACAAAGTAAACAGGAGGTGAATGTACATAATGGAGCTCCAAAGCGTTAAGAGTAATTGCTGGGTATGTGAACACTGCTGAAATTTCCAGCCATGCCAATGGAAGGGAAAGAGTCTGAATTGCGTTCAAACATCAGAATAAAGACAAACCTATGAAATGCATTTTAAATGCTGAAGATGCATGCCATTTGTACCTTGTCTTTAAACATATAGCGTAGAAAATCTGAAAGATCCTGAGTGTATTTAGCTTTTACTTACATCAGCTGTAATTAATGTTTGCATTGTGTTTTAAGTGTTTAGTAAGCTTTAATATCCTGTCATTCTCCACTCTTAAAGTTAATTCTCTCAAAACAGAAAAGAAAGGCTTTATTTCCCACTTGTCTTCTGCATCTTTTGCTGTTATAGCATCCATGGAATCTACACAAGACTGATGTACAGACATGCATTTTCAAGTAAATCAAAAAAATGCCATGCTAAACGTTACAAGTGTAGTTGTGCATCTTTTCATCTTGATTCTTTACAGATAATGGCTATGAATTATTTATCTGTATTAGGGGTTTGTACTTCAGAAGGTAAAGATGGCTGAGTTGAAATGATAAACTGCTGTCTGTTGTCAAACTGACAAGGTCAGCAAGAGGTTTAGTTTAAGTAACTTGAAAACTTAAAAAACCCACTATCATTTTAATATTTCACATAAAGTTGGAGTCCTCTTTAAGCATAAAGTTACTTTTGTTAAGATTCTTTGTGAAAATTTTAATCATCTGCTGAATTTTCTGAGAACCATGCATAAAAAGAATATGACATGCATATAATATATTTGTGTGTGTGCATGCATGTGTGTATGTATTATTGGTAAAACTGATTCATCTTTCGTACTTCCCCCAAAAAAAACAACTCAAAATCTCACTATGTTTGATGACAGAGCTTACGTATATGTATGTATGTATGTATGTATGTAGCCACTCTGCGTGGAATTTTGACCCTACTGAGATCAATGTCAAAAATTCTCATGAATTCACTGACAAGGATTTGATCATGTGGAACTATTTTTTATTTATACGGAGGCCCTTCAGAAAAGGGTCCTCAAGTCCTGCTCAGCTGGTACAAATTAACATAGTTCTATTAATATTAAGAGAGCTTTACAGGTTGCATCATGGAAGGAACTTAGACTCAATCAAAAAAAGCTTAGCATGAGAATTAGGCCTTCATTTTTATTCAGAAGTTGCTGGAGCACTCACCACTTAATAAGAAAATAATCAGGGTTTATCATCACTTCTAAAAAGCAAGTGCATTTCAAATTTTAGCTCTGCAAAAATCAAACAGAATTCTCCATCTACAGCTGAGTCTCATTTAACATTGTGTAGTTCTTTACTCACAAGACCCTCAGACTTCATGTTTTAAACTTATTTAAGAGTTACCCTGAAAGAAATGCCATCATGACTTAATTTATGGGAAAATTGCACCTTATTGGTAATGTAGAGAATAACTGCGTATTGTTTTGACATAGCGGAAAAGAATCCACAATGGATGGAGGCAATTATCTTTATGTTGCTATACAGTATGTTCTCAAAGCAAGCTTATGCATTTGAAGCTTTACAGTATTTTTCTTTGATTCAGTTAAACAAAAACATTGTATTTATTTATATTCTTTTTCATAAGAATGTTGGTTTTCCTAAGCACATTTTTTTTCCAGAAACTCAAATACATAATAAAGTTGCACATTGGTATTCTCCAAATTATACTTTGATATTCAAAATACATTATGCTTTTAGCTCCTGTTCAATACGGTAGAAATTATTGATTGTAAATTTAAACATACATTAAAACCAGATAGACTGCTGCAAAATGTTCACCTTCCAAGCATTAACATCTTAAGATAGTAGCTAAGTGACTTTCAAATAATGTCAGATACTTTAATCTGTTCTGCGAAGCAAGGCAAATTTAAGGCTACATTAGAACATGTATAAACTTTACAACTTCATATTGTATATGTGCACCAAAGTAGTATGACACATGGAGTAGTTACTGGAGCCTACGGTTTTCCTGTTCTCTGCACATCTTTTTGAGAGAGCTCAACAAAACATTGGGTATTCCCAATCATCTTGCAAAGCAGAAGGACAATTCTAGACATTTGTGGATACAGTGGATGGCATTGCATTCGGAAACATGATAGCCCAATTTGTCTACCCACTGAGGAGGCCCTAACTTTGCACAGTGATGTTTTGAAAGACTATTGACCTGTGAGACATCTTTGAAATCAATGGAAATACAGTATGTTGCTGTTCAGTGGGAGCAGGTATAGCAGGAATAGTCCTTTATTTTCTTCATTATGCAGTAGTAAGCTATTTAACTTCTGAAGAGTAATCAGTTTTTCAGTCTTCTTTTTGGGTAAACAGAGTCCATGCATTAACACAGTTAGAAAATTAACTCCCTTTCTCTTAAAACTGGGGAAAAGCAAGTGGTGTATACTTTATACAAAAGTCAAACTAATTTGGTTTAAAGGTATCTATGGGTTTGTGAGAAACTAATATTTTTAGGTTTCCTTGGAGTAGTTGAATTTTGCATGCAATTAATAGTGACCTTGTGAGAATAAAAAGCTGGTGATATGCTGAGTAACTCAGTGTGCTACTTTAGATGTGTGTTTACTTGAATAAATTAATGGTACTTATTTCATCACAAGGTCATCTTATAATTAAGCTTATAAAATATACTATACTGTGGAGTATGTGCGCAACCTGCACATTTTTTAGATTCTGATCTTCACCAGCTATTTCTCTGTTGCTCTCTCGTTGTAATATGCTGAAACTGTCCAGTACACCTAATATAAATTGAAAAGCTAACGGTATATATAGAATACAGATATTCTGATTAAAATTTACATTTAAGAATTATCCAGCATTCTTCAATTCAGGAATCTGATTCAACTGTCATTTTAATACAGATACAGTAATGGTGGCATGTTGCTATTATCAAATTGATGGAACGCAGAAATTTCAGACTCTTTAGTGATAGCGATGCAGATATTTGCTGATTGTATTGTGGGCAAAATATTTTATTTCAGTGTAAATGTCAGTACAATCTTACATAGTTACAATCTCACTGAAGGTAATCAACGAAGTTTATAAAATGTGATGTGTATGTATATATGTGTCCTCTTAAAGATAGATGTTTTCCCAGATCCTTTTTTATACCAGTTCAAATTTGGAATTTACATTATATACATATACTTTATTGTTCTAAATAAAGATATTATGCACTGCCATATAATTAGTATATTGTGTCAGTCCCATTTAAGAGCACTTTTTTAAGTCCTGTCATCTCCTTGAAGAATTTTCTGCAAGAATGTAAGCTACTAGATGCAGACTCCTTCATAATGATTTCATTTCTTAATCATGCATTTTGAAGTCTTATGCCACCTCATTATATGCTACCTTATATGTCCTCATTATCAGCCTTCATTGATGATCCATAGTTTATCTGTGATTATGAAAATTATTCCAAGCTCAGAATTAAAAGTTTCTTGTAGCTTCTTAATGAGCTTAAATTTGTTTGTGCCCTGCTTTAGGCAGTTTTTCACATTCCATTCATGCCATTAACCACATACTGGGGTTTTAATTTACCAATAAGAAGTTTGAACATTGTTGATGCACTTCTTTCACAGTAAGTGGCATTTACCAACTCAAAAATTTATTACAAATAACACGGATTTTCAGCAGAGGTTAGAGCTTATCCCATGAAGATAGCATTTGGCCTTTCAGGTTTCAGCAGCTTATTGTGGCTTTTCACCAAGAAGGCCAGGACATGGGATCAAGTTGGGAGGAAAAACAGCTGCTCAGGGAGCTCCAGCACCTCTGCACTCCTGGAAAAGAATGAAAGGATGCCAGCCTAGGACAAAGAGATAAGCCTGCTAAGGCTTTCAATCTACCTTAGAGAGTGATAAGAAGAAAGAGAGGCAAAGATACGGTAGGCAGATCTAGGAGGGGTTACAAATAGGAGTGAGGTACAGACAGGACTGATGAGAAAGAGCAGAGAGCAGTGTTACTGGGCTGGCTGGGAGTCTGTGGAACAGGATTTAGGTATGGCAGATCATAGAGCATGGGTGTGATCTGTAGCTGTTGGTCTAATCACATCAAGAAACAGCTGATGGGCTTGATGAGGATCACAGAGCATTGGAGCTCTGCACTGATGGCGTAGGAAAAGTCATGCCCTTGGGAGCAGCAATGATAGCTTGGGTGGGTTGGAGGTATGATGGGCACTCTGTTCAGCTAGGGCTAGGTAAGCCCCATGTAGCTGCAGAGGATGGAAATGAGCATTCTTCCTGTGGAAAGTAGCCTTAATATGACAAAAAGGAGGATGACTTGATCCAAAAGTTCAGGAAGGCAGAATTAACAGCAGGGTACCTGGAAACAAGGTGTGAGATCTCACTGAAGTCAGTTTAGTAGAACTTGCTGCAAGGGGTAATGGTTTTAAACTAAAAGAGGATAGGTTCAGACTAGATACAAGGAAGAAATGTTTCCAGTGAGGGCAGTAAAACACTGGAACAGATTGCCCAGAAACATGGTAAATGCCCACATGGAAACATTCAAAGTCAGGTTGGACAGGGCTCTGAACAACCAGTTCTAGTTGAAGATGTCCCTGCTCATTGCAGCAGAGGGTTACACTAGAGGACCTTTAAAGGTCCCTTCCAACCCAAACTATTTCATGATTCTATGAATTGTACATAGATGGAGTGAAGGGTAAGAGTGAAAGGCTGGGAAAACAGATGTTAACTCTTCAGCCAAAGAGATACCACCATAATATTTTTGGTCCTCTGACTTAGAATTTTTGGTGCCTTACATAATGCAGATTAAACCACTGCCGTTCAATTTGAACTCTGGAGACTTATATGTGCCAGGGACTGAGAGAAATATTTACCTTCAGTTTTCCAGTTTTAGTGTGTCCAAAACAACGAATATAAGCATCTCATTCAGTGGATGAAAATTAAGGCAGTCTTTGTCCAAGGCATGGAGGGCATTAATAATAGCACTTTCCTATTTCTGTCATGCAGAAAAACAATAATTATTATAATACAATACGGGAGGGGGGTGGTAACAGCTCAACACTTCCGTGAAATGATACTATGTGTATTAGCTGTATATATTTTCACTCCACACACACTCGGCATTACTCTCCAGTGTATTTTTATTCCATGTTAACAAATATTCATTACTAAATACACTCATGCCTGAAGCTTCTAATTGGTAATACGTAAGATGCTTCTGGTTTTGGCAAGATGAGTTGTTTCAGGATTTCACACTACATTAACAAATTATAAAACCACTTCCTTTACCACTGCTCATGTAGCCATTGATAAGTTTTCTCCTGAAGTTCAAATATTTCTAAATTGGGTTAAGTTTCCCAATAACTACACTGAAGCATGCGCTAACACAATCAAGTTTTGTGTTGTTATACTTAAAAAGAAATTATTA